AAGGTTCACTCCCCGTATCTCTGGGCGACCCTAGCACGAGGGGTCCATCTCTCCTCTCGGCAGCCATCATCACCACAAAATCCCTCGATTCTCACAGCATAAAAGCACAAATCCGTCTCAGTTTTGCTTTTCGAATCGTTGCTATTTCTTCTGGGCCCGTTATAATGACACTCTACCTTTTATTCAATACAGTTCAAATTGTTTTTACCGAGTCAACCTTCTACAGATTATGTTTTCATCGGGAGGTCCACTGTCCTCTATATGCCTTGTCCAGCCCTTCCTACGGAGCAGTTTGACGAGGTAATACGGCTCTCTGTCACTAGAGGTTTCTTGTATTTCTGTAATAAGATGGAGTAAAGTTGTTTTTTTTAAAAGGTTTTTAACATGTATAGAGGTGATGACAAATATGAAAATGATATGGAAATATCATCGAATTAGAACCGAGAGCTTCCCCTCTTCATATCACATCAAATGACAAAAAAAAACTTTCTACTTGATTCCATCAGATACTGCAATTAATTTTATCAATCCATCTTGATTGAATTCAGTTCCTACGCTACTTTGCTATTTTTATAGCAACTTAACCAAATTTGGAAAAGAAACAGAGCGGTGTATTACACATTTTTCTGACAAAATTAATAGCAATTTTACCTCATCTCGGTACTCACCTTAAATCATAAATCAATAAACAGCAGAGGCGTAATTATACCATATTTTACAGAGGACAAAGCTATTTTTTTTTATTTCACCTTTCCAACCGTACACTTGGTTAAGCATATTTAAACAAAAATAGGATGAAAGAATGAGATGGTTAATGAATAATATAATTGTTTTTATATCTGTCATCGTTCCACAATTTTTTTTACCAAAAGAAAAACGCAAGACATATCACATTTTTTCATCTATTTCAAAGCACATAAATTTAAAACAATGAATTTTGATTCTGCAAACACAATGAAGTCAGTCAAACTTAAATACTGCTATCAACCAGCATACAAAAAGCACGTGTACTTTGTAAAAGATAATCTTTCATTGTTATATAATTTGTAATAGAATAAAAATTACCCCCAAAACCCCATCAAGTTCTTATGATCATGATTTGTTAAAGATGTATCATACTAAATACCAGAGTACAGTTTTTATGATCGATTATTTTAAAGAAATCAAGTTGATTATAGATTTTTTTTAAAATCCGTGATAAGGATCCATGAATTACATCAATAAGTACTGCTACCATGGCTTTAACCTAAATATGAGTATTTAAATTGCTAAGATAACTGTTTGCTGTTTATTTTTTTAGAGATCCGTCTGAATATGCATTGATATAGCAATATCAACAATAACTACAAACAAATCGTACTAGTGAGTAGACATAAATAATTTCACACCTATACAGAATGTCTTCTATTTAAAAAAAAAATCAATGTTAATAAATTAAATGTAATTTGAAGCACAATTATAAGTACACATGTACGGGGAAATAATTTTTCCCGATGCTTGAGGGAAATAGATACCAAAATTACAATTTAATTTGCATTGATCCCAAGTCAGAATTACTCAACCAATCATAACGACTTCTGTAGCACTGTAGTATGCATCACATATATATTAACTGAAGAAGACATTTATAACATAATGTAAAACAAAACGAGCAAGTATCATTTAAAAACTGACACAATCGCAATTACTTTACACAAAAGATCTACCGAAGGCAATTTTGATGGCCTTGTACGTCACATTTTGAAATGTGCGAACGTTGAATAGACATCATTTCGCATATTACGTAATCATGATTTAAACAAAATCAAAATGATAAAAACTTGATTGATCTTGAGTTGATTTTTTCGAAGGTAGACCGTGTTACATTGTGATATCAGACAAGTAAAAAACAAAAATTATCATTTAGCATAGGCCTACTTTGCTATCTAAATAGTCAATAGACTAATACACGCATAAATGTGCTGTACAAAATGTAAGCCTTATTGTTGATCGTAATCTATTTAGAAGAAGAAGAAAAAATCACTGGTAAACTCAAAATTCTAATAATGAAGAATCACCACCTGACTGCCACGAAATCCAGTTAATGTACAACTCATAGATTTATAAGTCACTTTAAAAACCTCTTAAATAGGGAATTGAATAAAGTAAAGTAAAACAAATTACCTTGTGTGTGTAGGTTTCCTGTAGAAAGCAAAAAAAGATAGGGAGTCGATTTGGCGTAAAAGTTCCCGCCAGCCTGTTTTGACTGCGTTTTGATCTTCAGAAGATGTGCGAAAATGTGCGTTCATCAGCCAGTCATTAGCCGAGCTAGCCCAGTGATTTCCTAGTCGCAAGCTGTGATGATGTGGAGTAAAAGTGTCGCCTTCGAGCAGAAAAAATACAGCGCGTGGTTTTGGAGAGTATGGGGATACAAAGTTGGAGGCTTGCAAGTCGTCTACGTTGCCCCGTGTATGTGTGGATGTGTGTATGCCATGCATTATGTGCATACTCTGAGTGTGTGTGTTGTATAGTGGATGGATGTATCGCCTGCTAATAGCTTCGCGAAGTCAACCGAGCTTTCTGATTGGTCGGTTGACATTGGACGAATCACTGAAGCCAGATTGGCGCCATTTCTCCGATTTACTTTCTGCCTTTCTATCTCTCACTCTCTCACTCTCTCACTTTCTCTCTCTCTGGCGGGCAAAATTCTTGAAAGCAAAGATATTTCTTTAGACATATCAATTAGTTTCATGCCGTATTTATTGACTTTATTTCACTAGCCGTAATCTGTGTAATTCATTTTACTGGGATTTTTATTTCCTTTAATCCGCATTTTGTATAATTAGCTTCTTTTTATCTGCCTACTTTAAAAGCAAATTTCATTTCTGCCGGCTAGATATTTATATTAGAATCTTATTTGATCACTGTTTGATGTAAAATAACGCTTATAATATAGTGGCAGTGATTATATTTCCTAGAACAAAGAGAATGTTCTGACGTGACTACATTATGTTGCCAACGTGACAAGAGTATCAATTTCCTTAGCTTCCAATTATTGATTAATAAACTTCTATGCTTTTGGTTTCTCCGTGTTGTCACTATCTCAAGTAATACAATTCAGTTTCATTTATAAGAAAAAGATGCGCTATTCCAGACTAAATCAATTTTAGTTGGCATGATTGCTTTCACAGTATTCTTTTGTTCCCCTTTGTGTGAATAATGCCGGCGGCATCTTTGACATGCAAGCATTTCATATGAACATTCAAGGCACTTTAATCTCTTAATTCTGAAGAATGAAAAGGAAATTCAACCATGAAGGTTATTCCCATGATAATTAAATTTTCATAAATGTTTCTTAAATAAACTAAAAACATGACAGAATTACAAAGATTAAAATAACACAAAACAGCGAATATTGTTGAATCCACTGCAAAGCTAAAGTAATGAATATTCTAAGAATGAGTCCACTACTTTTTTAGTGTAGATGTTCACTCTAAAACTTACTTCACTTATGTAGAGAGTAATATAAACTGGTGGTAATTGTAGTTTTCTCATTACAATAAACAAAGTAAGTACTAAGTACTGTTGTCAAAGAGTAGAAATTGAAGATACATGTACATGTAGCTGTCCGAATTCAACATGGAGACTGCCCATTTTTCGGTTATTTGATAATAACAGGTGGGGGGGGGGGCGGGGTTAGGAAGGTTATACATTGTTATAAAAGATATGTTCATTGCCAATCTATGCAACTCAGAAGAACAATGTATATTATCTGACTTTTAAAATTTAACTTTGATAAATGCAAGTTGATCGATGCAATAATTATTAATGTTATTTCAATAAATGTAAGTTTATGTTTTCAAGTCGGGTTTTACATCCCGTATTCATAAAGATCATACATAACAATATTTAATAATTGTATTTTATCGATTTATTTTTTTATATATACTTCGTGTAAATGTTACAGTTTAATCATTTAGTTTTAATTTTTTAATGATCAAAAATATTTTTTCTCTTAATACATTATCAGGATGTCCTGCACCGACTCTCAAACTGTATATTTGATCTTACACCTTTTGATTTTCTATTTATTTCATATCCAAGTATGCAAACCGAACTTAATATTATTGTTGTTTTCATTATTTATGATTTATGATTTATGTATTGCTTATATCTAGATTCATTTAAAAGTATTAAAGCATATAATTATATTTATATGTCTATGAAATTATTTTTACCTTGTAAATTTTCTTGCATCAGCCTCCAGCTGTATTGTTGAATATTCGAATAAAACCTTATCAAATCAAATCAAATCAAAGTTATATACGTCATCATCATCTGATAATCCGTTCGTCATTTTGTTATCAATGCCATAGTGCTATCATTCGAAACTTCGAAACTCGATCATGATTAATCACAATGGAACCAAAAAGGGACATGGATTCATTGCAGTATAGAATGAAAACAGTTTGTTTTATTCTTAATATAAAGACGAAAAAGTATTTTATTTTACAATTATTTTACATTTTACAATTAATGTGGTTGTTTGTCTCTACTCTTTCCGATGTTACCTGATTGATATCGAAACAAACCGTACGGCTGAATCCTGAATTTCCAGTTAAATGAAAAAGCTGTGAATGGATTTTGCCATTTAGATTGGCGAATCATCTCCCTAGCGACATTTTATATCACACCAGTCATGACATTATTAAGGAAACAGCTTTCAGTCAACTTATTTGGGGGAAAATGATGATTCAGTTTAAGCGATGCTTTTTTTGTCAAGTCCTTTTTCAGGTTTTAATGCCAAATGACGTTCCACGTTTCACAACATGAAATAAATGCATTATATTGCTATTCTTAACGTAACAATAGTTGTTTTTAATAGGAAATGCAGTCTTGTTTCCATGCATACATGTTACAATTTTTTGTTTAAAAAGAAATAAATAGGAAAAGAGAATGAACCAGAGAAAAAAGTTAAATCTGCATTCATATAGCGCCTTATACAAATAATCGTCTCTGTTATTAAATTTGTGATGTGTTGAATAAAACATCACGCTGTAATTTTAGTGAGTGTGTTTAATTAATGATTATCTGCGTAACAAGCACAGATAGAAAGCATCGTAATTGATTTTTTTTCTTCAAACCTGTATGATAACGAATAACCTTGAAAAGGCAAAAGTTCAATAGACTTCAAAAATACCTGAACCTGGGTCATTTCATTCAAAAGACCAACATCTTCTTTTAACACTCTCTTTTCGCTATATTCACGTAAGTGCCCCTCTCCACTACCTTCTTCCATTTGTAGGACGACACAAGGAATATTTCTTTTGTTGGACCGAAGCTTTGGAATAGCTTACCTCAGAAGATTAGAGAACAAAAAACAAGATATTCATTTCGTAATACCCTCACAATTTATTTGATGAACAAATAAATTATCTGTTATGTTAGCAGTTAGTAATGTATTGTATTTTGAATGTATACAATATAATATTGTAAGAACTAGTATAATGCTATAATAATGAAGAGATACACTATCGATATATAATGAACAGAGAAAACCGATCTCGACTAGCACTAATTGTGCTAACTTTTGGTTTTCTTCTAGCAACAACTTGAAGTTTTGTATAAATGTGTTTTAAGTAAGCATTGCAGTAAGTCATTGTTGTGTACATTATGTACAGTTTGTATTTTATTGTTTTGCCTTGCATACTTTGTTTTATGATGTACATACATTTTGTTGTTGTTAATAAACTTCAAACTTCTCTCTCTCTCTCTCTCTCTCCCTCTTTCTCCTCTCTCTCTCTCTCTCTCTCTCTCTTTCTCTCTAACCTTCCTGTCTCTGTCTGTCTTTTGGTATCACTCTCTTTCTCTCTTTTTCTCACCTTTTCTTTCTTGTTGTATCATGTACCCTTAGGCCCCACTTTTTTTTACTCATTGTTTTAGCAAATTTTCTCTGGTTGCTTTTAAGTTTAAAACTTGATTTAGAAGGAAAAAAAAGGACAAAAACAGCTTTTCTTTCACCTTGATGTTCCATAGATGATCATGACTGTCACTTTCTCTTAAAACTCATTGGAATTGAAAAACGAAAAACACTTCGAGGCTCTCTTATCTCTATCTCCGCCATTAACACAACACGAGACATTTAGTACTGTTCCCCTTTTCAATTCTATTAAACTTTTAAATCCGACTCTCTCCGTCGAAAGTGGTGATGACAAATTAGATTTGAAATCGTAATATTTGGATCACAACTCTTCACTTTACATCCGACTGCATGAGACGGAGAGGGGAATAGCACGACTTAAGCAAACGCTACATTTTTGTCTGCAAATAGAGGTTTAAGTTGTATGTTGTTTTCTCCGGCTTCTGTCTCGCTTTTCACTTGCAAACGGCCGCGGGCAATGTGGGGTCTTAACGCAGTGCGGTGTATTAGATCCGTTTTGGCGGGAGACAGAAAATTAGAGCCGCCGGAGTCAGGTGATAGGTAGTCGCGAGTTACCTGCGCAGTCAGATAATATCAGTTCATGCCACAGATCAGTTGACGCCGATCGCTGCCGAGCGGTGCATGGCCGCAGGCTACGCCCATGGGCACGGCAGAGATTGGGCATGAAGCTCACCATCTTCTTCCACCCGCCGTTGATCAAGTTTGGGGACAGTGTCGCGGTAATCAGTCGAAAAATGGTGGAAATGCGGAAGATTGGGTGAGAAGAAAAATGGTACATTACACCTCTTTTCTGTCTCTCTTTACGACATATAATGCATTTTGGATTTATTTAGAATGTACTGGCTATCACTTCCCGTATTGCAAAACCCGCTAAACCTTAATTTTACGCGGCTCTCATTAAATTAGTGTCACAAATTAATGTATGTAATAGAATAGCGCAATTAATTACTCGCATACATACAGGAATACTAGGAGGAGGAATTAGTCCACTTTTCTACGACTCCATAAAAACCTTTCTCACTGTCTGTATCTCACTCTCTCTTTTCTCTCCCTCTCTCTCTCTCTCTCTCTCTCTCGCTCGCCACGAGTATCTTCACTTTTCTTTTCTTCCACTTCTTCTTCTTCTTCTCATTTTCTTTTTCTTTTTCTTTTTCTTTTTCTTCTTTCTTTTTTTCTTCTTTTTCTTTTTCTTCTTCTTCTCATTTTCTTTTCTTCTTCTTCTTTTTCTTTTTCTTTTTCTTCTTCTCATTTTCTTTTCCTTTTTCTTCTTCTTTTTCTTTTCTTTTTTTCTTCTTTTTTTTCTTCTTTTCTTCTTTTCTTTTCTTCTTTTTCTTTTTCTTCTTCTCCTTCTTCTTCTTCTTCTTCTTCTTCTTCTTCTTCTTCTACTTTTACTTCTTCTACTTCTTCTTCTTTAACTTCTAATTAAAACAAAGCACCCTTTTACATTTTCCTATACACTTAACATGATTTCTATAAAATCCTGGATTCAAGTGGAGGCCTATATAG